TAATTAATTACTAATAAATTACAGTATCCAAAATAAATATTTAACATTTTAACATAAAAGTAAATGTAACAAAAAATAAAACTAAATGCTTTTATTATAAATAATTTACTTTTGAATTAATAACTTTGTTTAAAGTAAATATAACATTCAGTGGGACACAATTTTAATTTTTAATACTCTACTTAATAGTAAAACACATAAATTATATTTAGCAAAAGAATTTAAAACAAATATTTGGCATGATAATTACAGTTCAAAATAATAAAATAATATAAGTATAAAGTATAGAATAGTTTCAATATAAAAATTTTTAATTTTTATTTTTTATAAGCGAGATTCAATAAAATAAAATTCTCAAAAGTTGTAAGCTTATTTTCTAATAATGAACACAGAGATTTTAAACAATGTGTCATTGTTTATTAAATACACAACTCATTGACCATGCTCTCCCTCAATAATAGGCAATATTATTAATTTTGCATTTTCCGATAATAATATCGTTCTTGGTCACTTTTATCTTTAATCGCGAAATTTGCACTGTCGCCAAACCTAACAAGCAAATATTCGTTGTTATTTCTTCCCCAATCCATATAGTGTTCCAGGTTCATTTTATTCGGTCTTTGGGCCAATAAATTGTGCGTCTCGTATCTAAACATACCTCTCTCATTTAGATAGCGTTTCAAGTCGGCCACATTTTTAATTTGATGCTCATTTATAACATCCTGGTTGACCGAGAAATAGTCTCCAGTCGCTAAAATAACAACAACGTACATTCAATTTCAATATTGTGGCCCTGGTTTTACAAAAACTGTATATTTATATAAATGACAGTTTGAAGTAAACAGAATATATTAATAGTTGTTTTTAATCAAATAGATGTGCTTACATAAAATACGTTGCATTATGTTGTAATTTTTTTATCGCTAATAGAGTATTATTGTTAATAGAGTACTTTTATTTAATCATAATTAAGTATTTTTTTAACAAAAATGTCCATTAACAAACTTTAATTTAATAGTTTTCTTTAAATTTATCAATTTTGTAAATTCATAACTCTGAACATTATAATAATAATAAAGTTCCTGGTCACTTTTCTCGTGCACTTCGAAACTTGAATCCCGTGAAATGTTGGCCAACTCAAATACGTCATTAATAGGCTCAGGCTTATTTTCAAACCCATTTCTGACCAGTAATTTGTGGGTTTCAAACAAAAACATGTCCTTTGAGTTTAGGTAGCATTTTAAATGATAGACACTTTTAATCTTGTACTCCAGTAAATGATCCTGGGTCACCACGCTTGTTGATCCTGATGCAAGTTTTACAAAATACTTTTTTGACATTATACCCAAGGTGGTTGTAAATATTTTAAAATTAACAATTAATTAATTATAAAAACTGTAATTAAAACAAATGCCTTATTTTAATATTTTTGTTATTATTTCTTATCATAATTGATAATAGATTTGCACATATAATACGTGATTTATTTACTTTTAATTAAATGTGGTTTGTTAACTCACTATAATATGTTTATAAATATAATAATTAAGTAGTTAATTTATACAAGCAAAAATTATTACATTACAGTCCCTTTTAATATTTGCTACTTATAAATACTAAATGTTTTTAATTTAATAACATAGATGTTAATACAAAAAACATTAAAGTATTATGCTTTAAAATTATACAGTATGTCTGTTAAATATAATAAAAGTAACAATATTAATTTTTTATAATTATTAAAAATATAATATTATTTTTTAAAACAGTTGAATTATTATATATTATAATTAAATCTCTTAGATATAAAATACACTGAATGTAATTATAAACTACAGTAACGTTTTCAGTCTACCGTACACTTAAATGTTTAATTAAAATTTAACAACATGTTACATTAATAAATTAATACATTATATTTGGCAAATTAATTTAGCAACTATGATGAGTATTACATTCAATATATTGTCCATCTCTAAATATATACTTTGTAGGCGGGTCATTTATAACCTTATCGAGAAATTTTTTTGATGTTACTTTATAATGATAGTACCGTTCCTGGTCACTTTTATCTTGAACCTCGAAATACGGATCGCGACTACAATTAGCCAGCTCAAAGTCATCGCTACTTAATTCCGGTCTATTTTCACATCCACTTCTCACCAGTAGGTTATGCTTTCCGTAAATAAATTTATCAATTACATTTAGGTAGATTTTCATATCACACACGGTGTAAATGCGGTATTTAATGATATCACTATGCTCTACCACGTGCATCAATCCCGAGGTTAGTTTGACCGTGTACTTTCTTGACATATTGTACAGGATTAATTTTGTTTAAAAACTAATTTATATTACATAATGCTGATGTAAACAATAATATACAATGTATAAGCCTTATACTATAAGGTAAACTATGCCGTATAAAACAATAGGTGCTTACATAAAATACGGTTATACTACTGTATACTGTACATATACTACTGTAGTAAATAATTTATAAATAAATCATATCAAACAGGTATGAAAATATTTAATTTAGTATAGTTTAAATTTTAATATAATAAGTAATTTTAATTATACATGTGTATTTTACATTTTAATAACTATCACTAAAAACTAGTTCATTATCATATAAATTTTAAAAAGTCGTAGTTAACATGCAAAAATTATTTTTACAAAAACATTGATAAACTTATAATATTAGTTATATTTATGATTAACATCTTAATCTAATATTAATGTCAGTCACGGGAAGTCCGATCGTAACTGACCCCGGAGTCCGAGCTGATCGCCGGTAATCTCAATGAACACGAACTTAGAGTCCGTCGGCTTTATACCCAACTCTGTCTCAAAATGTTTGCTCAACTCTTGAGTGGCCGTCCGATTCAGATCCGCCGACATTTTGCCGATATTTTGCAGTGTGGACAGGGATGCCGGCGCACCAATACCCGGGTTCAGCCCTAGTAATCATAAAAATATTTTTTTAATAGAAAATTAATTTTAATTAAATAGCTAACTTTTTTTCATATTAATCATAACAAGCTTACAGGTAACATAATAAATCAGCTAGCATACTAAATATATATATTATTTAACATTCTAATAATTACCTTGCGCATTTATTTATTAGTTAGATATATAAATTAAATATTTAATTCTAACTTAATTAATTAATCTATTTAATCATTATTTATCTAGTTCGTTTATTTTACATAAGTTATGTTACATAAAAGTTTACTTCTATTGCCATTATATGAACTTGCATTTTAAGCTAGATAGAAATTAAAATAATTAATAAATGATAACTAAATAAATTAATTTGAAACAATAATTACCATGGTAAATAATTTGATCAGAATTCACACAAATAGTCATGGCTTTAATGGGTTTGTTGAGCAGTTTACTCAATAGCTGAGCCGTATTTGTTGCAAATCTAGCCGGTATTTGACTCCTGGCCAGTGTAGTGTACACCTGTAGTATTGGCATTGTTAAGTTATAAAAAAATAAATTTTTACCTAGCTTATGGCACTAGAAGTAAATTAATAGTACAAATTATAAATGCATGACTATTGTACATAAATGAGATTGTTTTGTTATGATGAGCTACCATAGACTTTATTATGAAATACCGGTGCTATTTGCACCCACTGTATAACCTTGAAGTGAATGCTATGCTGTATACAGTATTTAGGATTATTGTAGATAGCTCCCTCTCATTTGATGGGTTAGAGACATAAATTTTTATATAAAATTACTAAATTTAAAATTATGTATTTCTAATAAAAAGTAACAACTTAATTTATTAATTGTTATGCAGTTGATAACATTATAATAAAATCACTCATTATTTGGACATATTTTAAATATGTAATATATACGATAATTTGTTATATTACGAGTACAAATCATTATTAATGAACAAGCAATAAATAGTAATTTGTTTTATTCCATAAATTTAAAAGTAGTTTTTTTAATTCATATATTGGAATGCAAATAAGTCTGTATAAATTTGATAACATACATTTATAAAATATTTATTAAATAATATAGTCTGGGAACTAGGGACTGAATTTTTGTTACAGTTTATTAATGTGACAAAAATATTTATTAATAAATCTTAATTAAAATATTTGTTATTAATATTAAAATTATCTAACTAAATTTCATAAACGCAATTATTATTTAACATATTTATAACTTATAATTATTGATAATAAATTATTTTTCTGTTTTTAAATAAATATTTTATTATAAAATTTTAATCATTGTTCATCAATTTTAAAAGTACGCTTAAAATTGTGTATTTGTTTTTCAGTTAAACCTAAATGTGCTAGCTCAAACATAGGTTTTACACCAGGTGCGGGGTTAGGTGGTTCAACAACATACTGTCCACCTAAATGTTCAGGGATCCATTCCAAATTCACGTAATCTTTTAATTGATCGTGGTTAATAAATTTAGCCAACGCCTTACTTTTATCACCTAAAAAATTCATAACTATTTGAGCACTCGCATTTAGTATCCAGGGCAATTCCAGCAATAGAAAATATTTAATAGCTAAGGGATAATAGTCCTGGGACACTCGCGCCGTGAATAGTATGTATTGAATATCCAAGTTGGACAAGGTCATCGCGGTTGTGTCAAAAATTATTGCCCAACCCTGAAATTTAATTTAAACATAAATTATATAAATATTACAACTATATAAATACCTAGTACAAATTATTTTCATAACATCAACTATTTTTCTCATTTACTGTACTAATATTACATTAAAAATAATGAATAAATATATTGAGAATTTTTTAAAAATTAATTTTTTTAAATAAAGTAGGGTGACCAACTTGATTTTTATGACACCTGTCCACTTGTTCAAAGTGATGTACCGTAAACTGCTCTATAAGGCACTTGACATCATCCATATTGTGTATATGTTTGCCATTGAACCACAACAATGCCCGGCCCTCCCTGTCCACACCCACCTGGTTAAATAGGCCCAGGGTGTGCAATTCTTGTGGAAAATATTGCGGGGTCAGTTTAATTAGTTCATATGATTTACGCCACTTCATAGTATTTATGAGGGACTGGAGAGCCTTGTCATCCCTGTCCTTTGATTTTGAATGCTGTTGTATATGTCGGTCGACAGTCCAGTCGTCATCCCTAACCAGTTGTATGTCAGTGGATTCAAATTGATCTGGATAATCGGTGGCATATTTTAAAAAATTGCTTCGTATTTTATTAAGTGAGCCAGGCATTATATTATTTATCAAGTTATTAATGATTTAATTTGAGTTAAAATTAAAAATTATTATAAATGACACTTATTATTATTAATAAAATTTTAACTCTATATTTATATAAAGTTTATAATTTAGAAAAATAATACAAAATAATATTTTAAAAATATTAATATTTGATAAAGTGATAAAATTTTTAAAATAATTATTTAATTCACATTTTCAGTTAAATACTACGGATTAAGGTTTTGCATACACTTGTCTAATACTAACTGCCTATTTATATAAATTCAATGTATAATAGTATTAAACTTTTTTAAAACTCGTGCTATAAAATGCTAATTACATATTAATTTTTACTATTATTGTAGATTGATATTTTTGTACAGTCTAATTTGTAGTTATAGTAAACAATATAATTACAATTACTATACTAATGAATATAGCATATCACGAATTTTTGATTAGGTTGGGAAAATTAACTTTTATCTATATTTCATGTCTCATAAAAATTAAATTATCTTTTATTGAAAATACAAATTTAAATATTAATAGTATCCAATGCTAATAGATCATTATTAAATACTATTTATATACAATTTATTTAATATACTCATATTTTTATTACATACTACTTACGTATTTGTAAACTGTATATAACTGTATAAATTTTTTTAAAAATGTTTTCATAACTAATTAAATGCGAAAATAATTGCTGACTCTTACCACATGAATAACATAATTAAATGCAGTAAAACAAATGGCAATATCAATAAAAATGACAAGGCTAAATATGACATACATTTATGCATAAGACTTATTCACCACATAAAAAACATTCAATATTTTGTGCATTTAAACAAACATACTGACATTATCAAAAAATGTACCCGGTACTAATTACTACATTATCATCTGGATGCCTGGTTATATCTGGAATAATACTATTGATATTTGGTATTTTATTTGTGCTAGCTAAATGTTTTTACGACGTTCAAAATATGGGGATAGTATTGCTGGTGTTTGGCTCCCTAATGATCTTGATCAGTTTAGTTGGATTTATTATGGCTATAATTATATTACGACGGGCTCGTAGACCACAAAAACAGCCAGCTAGTTTACCACAAAAACAACCTGTGCGTAGAGTGGATTCTGAAAGTGATGTGTAAATTAAATAACCTTGTTAACCTTAAAAATTAAATAAATTATATATGTTGAAAATTAGACTTATCATAAAATTGTTATTATAATTTTAAATTAATTCAAACTATATTAAATATTTAAAATTTATATTTTACTAATAAACTATTTATTGCTTATAAAAATATAATACTTTTATTTTATACCAAAAATACTTATAATGAAATGTCATATACTTACGAGTCATTCGTGAATACACTTACAGTTTGTTAACATAATTAATGTCCCAAATAGTGATTGCATACAAAACACATTTTATTTGAAATACCTCATTAGTAAACAATCAATAACTTAATGTTAATTATTTTCACGCAATTATACTTTAAATATTAACTAATAATACACAAAGCAAAAATAGTGAATATAATAGTGTACAAATAGTGTACAACAATTTTTATCATGCATTTGAATTACAATATTTTTTAAGAATTGATCACTTGAATATATTTGGTATTTTATTTGTGCTAGCTAAATGTTTTTACGAGGTACAAGATATGGGAATAGTATTGCTGTTGTTTATTTTACTAATGATCCTGATCAGTTTAATTGGATTTATTTTGGCTATAATTAAATTACAACAGGCTAGTAGACCACAAAAGCAGCCTGATAGTTTGCCACAAAAACAACCTGTGCGAAAAGTAGATACTGAAAGTGATGTGTTAATTATATAACCTTGTTAAACTTAAAATTAAATATATTAAATAAATTTATTAAAATATTAAACTTATTATATAATTGTTATTATAATTTTAAATTAATTCAAACTGTATTAAATATTTTGAATTTATATTTTACTAATAAACTATTTATTGCTTATAAAAATATATTAGTTTTATTTTTTACCAAAAATACTTATAATAAAATGTTTTATACTTACGAGTCATTCGTGAATACACTTACAGTTTGTTAACATAATTAATGTCCCAAATAGTGATTGCATAGAAAATACATTATTGTTAGCAAAACCTCATTAATAAACACTCAATAACTTAATGCTAAATATTTTCACGCAATTATACTTTAAATATCAACTATGGGTAACATTATGTCACTTGTACCTTTACTGATTATCTCAATATCTAGTTTGTGCATGATTGTATCAGGCACAATTTTGCTCGCATTTGGCGTCGTGTTGTACACGTATACTGAATATTATTACGAACCTTTTATTAGCACCGGTATTATACTGATGATATTTGGATCGTTATTAATCGTGTGCTCAATATTCACCCTGGTCATTGGTATGTGTTTTAATTGGAAGACTAAAGATAATGGGAATGGTGTCAAAGCAGAGGTCACCACCGGAAAGGTATCAGAAAATATTGATACAAACAATAAAACAAAAAATGATTCAATTGTATA